ATTTTTCCTTTCAAAGAAACTTTCCTCCAAAAACCAAAAATAACTTTTTTGCTTTTATTGCTCATCACATAGTGGACAAAAAGTGGCATCATAACGACGGCCCATCTCAAAGTGAAACCAGCGCTCACCAGGAGACAATAACGGCGTATGAAGGCAATGATAATCTGAAGTTGAGAATGAAGTAGAAGGATTGTTCCTTGGATGCTCACAACACATACAACTGCTAGCAACAACAAATCATGATTCCTCATGCATTCAAAACCCATTATAGATGAGTCCACCACCTGCTGCTACTGACAAAGATAGGAAATCAGCTTTGAATTAAAAGGCAAGAATATCCCATTTTTAGTACACCTGATTTATTTTCAGTGATATTACTGGCCACAATAAAAAAATGTTTTGATTAAATCTTTTTCTGATTGAAGACTTGATCCTGCCTGTGTTAGACATAACCCCTACTGTTTGTCTGCAGACAGAGAATTACACAAGTTGGATTGGAAAGGATTACTCACAAAACAGTTCTTTACGGACAACTCGCTGGCACAATAGCAAATTATTATTTATTTTGGAATTGAATTTATTGATCTGAAAGAATCCAGGAAGAACTCAATTTACCATTCGAAGATCTGAGAATCAAGTCATGTAATCAAGGTGTTTGAAGCAGATCAACCCTTTTTTAACTAATATACCAGAAGCTTTGAAGTTTTTCATAAGCAGACTTTGAGACTTTTAGAAAGGTTAGTTTTTGTAAATTGGCTGTAATGAACACACACTGGCTTCCAGGAATTGTTGAGCAAGACAACATGCGGCAGCTTCTATGTTGGTTACAGACCTGGAAACCCCCTTCATCCCAAGAAGTCAACAGACAAGAACGCCCCAGTCATGAGAAGCTGGCAAATAATGGACTCCTGCTGGATATTGGAAGACATGTATTGTGTGTTTCTCAGTTGGTCATCTATCAATCTGACAAAGCTAACTGTTTTATCTGTAGCTCAGGACATGTATTCCACCCTGCATTGTCTTTTACAAGGGGAACAGAAGGTACTGTATTTCCCCTAATAAGTACCACAAGCTTAGAAAATTGATAAAGAGGGCTGTTATTCAACTCCATAAACTACAAGTATAACTACAGGCTATAACCAGACACTGAGCAATGTCATTCATACATGGACTGGTACACACGATGTGCATCTTGAGTTGGGGTGTTTACTTACAGATTTCACCACCAGAAGGATGTCATTCCGTTGTAGCATTTTTCACGGTTCTTTGAACCAATCAGATCTGAACATCCTTACTTTGACCTAACACCTATTGTCTAAAACACAGAGGGACCATCAGTCAGTGCTAAAGTAGAACATGGACGTAAGCTAATCTAGAGCTGCGATTTAAGCATTTAGAGTGAGTGAGTGAGTTTAGTTTTACGCCGCTTTTAGCAATATTGCAGCAATATCACGGCGGGGGACACCAGAAATGGGCTTCACACATTGTGCCCATGTGGAGAATCGACCCCGGGTCTTTGGCGTGATGAGCTAATGCTTTAACCACTGGGCTACACCACCACCCTATGCATTTAGAATTTGCACTGGTGCAACCTGACACCTGATATTTATACAAGCTTGCACCTAGTGCAAGGTGATACCTTGTTGTTTAAAGCTGACTTCAGCTGGGAAACAGAATCAGGGACTAGTTTGGAGTAGTGACTCTGATGCACAAACAGAGAGTGACTGAACGTCTCTTCATTTTTTAAAACTTCATGAGGCATGATCTTATCAGACCCAGAATAATTTTGACATGATGTTATGGCCTGCAGGTGCAACCTGTTTTCATCTGGTGTAACTTGGTTATTACCTAACGTTGCACCGAGTGGAAGTAGGTTTCAATACCTCATGTTGAGCCCTGGAAACAGAGCCAACAATAGCCACACTCATCATCAAACAAAAGTGTCAAGATAGATTTCTCTACACAGTGAATGCATTTGAAGCTGTTTCAAGAAAGAGCTTAAAATCAGTTTTTGCAACACTTAAGCCAGTCATGAGAAGAGAGAAGTAAGACACATTCCACTCCAGGTATCATGAGACGCCCAACACTTAAGCCAGTCATGAGAAGAGAGAAGTAAGACACATTCCACTCCAGGTATCATGAGACGCTTAACACTTTAGCCAGTCATGAGAAGAGAGAAGTAAGACACATTCCACTCCAGGTATCATGAGACGCCCACCAGTGGTGATCAGGTAGACAGAACACTCTTATTAAGGACTTCAGTCAAGAGACAGAATAAATGAAAAACTATTTGTTTTTTAATTTGTAAATCTCTGGAGACCATGTATAATCCTTGGACAGACAAGCAGGATCCATCAAGTTTGAACATAAAACTGCCTGGAGATGAAGAAGTTGTTTGAGGAGCATCCACAACATGTACGATGGAACACCACTGCAATTTTTCCTTTTCCCTTTCCACAGGGTGATCACAGACTGACACACATCACACAGGGTGATCACAAACTGACACACATCACACAGGGTGATCACAGACTGACACACATCACACCGCAATCACAGGCTGACACACACCTAACTGGTATTCACAGACTGATAAACACCTAACTGGGTGATCACAGACTGACACACATCACACAGGGTGATCACAGACTGACATACATCACACAGAGTGATCACAGACTGACAAACACTTAACAGGGTGATCACAGACTGACACACACCTAACTGGGTGATCACAGACTGACACACATTACACAGGGTGATCACAGACTGACACACATTACACAGGGTGATCAGAGGCTGACACATCACACAGGGTGATCACAGACTGACACACATCACACAGGTCGATTACAGACTGACACACACCTAACTGGGTGATCAGAGACTGACACACATCACACTGGGTGATCACAAACTGACACACATTACACAGGGTGATCACATACTCACAAACCTCTAACGTGGTGATCACAGACTGACACACGTCACACAGGGTGATCACAGACTGACACACATCACACAGGGTGATCAGAGGCTGACACCTATCCCACAGGGTGATCACATACTGACACACACCTAACTGGGTGATCACAGACTGACACACATCACACAGGGTGATCAGAGGCTGACACCTATCCCACAGGGTGATCACATACTGACACACACCTAACTGGGTGATCACAGACTGACACACATCACACAGGGTGATCACAGGCTGACACACATAACACAGGGTGATCACAGACTGACACACACCTAACTGGGTGATCACAGACTGACACACATCCCACAGGGTGATCACAGACTGACACACATCTAACTGGGTGATCACAGACTGACACACATCACACAGGGCAATCACAGACTGACACACATCACACAGGAAGATCACAGACTTATGGTACACACATCACACAAGGTGATCACAGACTGACACATAACACAGGGTGATCACAGACTGACACACACCTAACTGGGTGATCAGAGACTGACACGAATCACACAGGGTGATCACAGACTTATGGTACACACATCACACAGGGTGATCACAAACTGACACACATCACACAGGGTGATCACAGACTGACACACACCTAACTTGGTGATCACAGACTGACACACATCACACAGGGTGATCACAAACTGACACACATAACACAGGGTGATCACAGACTGACACATAACACAGGGTGATCACAGACTGACACACACCTAACTGGGTGATCACAAACTGACACACATACCGCAGGGTGATCACAGACTGACACATAACACAGGGTGATCACAGACTGACACACACCTAACTGGGTGATCACAGACTGACACACATCACACAGGGTGATCACAGACTGACACACATCACACAGAGTGATCACAGACTGACACACCTAACTGGGTGATCACAGACTGACACACATCACACAGGGTGATCACAGACTGACACACATCACACAGGGTGATCACCGACTGACACACATCCCACAGGGTGATCACAGAATGACACACATCACACAGGGTGATCACAGACTGACACACATCACACAGGGTGATCACAGACTGACACACACCTAACTGTGTGATCAGACACACATACTTGGGAGATCAAAGAGATTGACAGATAATCAAACTCTTTGACTTCATTCATGTTTCACAATCAACATGATCAGTACACATGTGAAAGGAATCAAGATCCCATACGGAGGTTGCAGAGCCGGAACATAGCATACCACAAACTTCCACCGAGATACCTGTGTACTGTGTACCTGTGTACCTGTACTGTCACCTTCAACACCAGAAGCATCTCACCACTACAACACTCCCACCGAGATACCTGTGTACTGTGTACTGTCACCTTCAACCACCAGAAGCAGTTCACCACTACAACACTCCCACCGAGATACCTGTGTACTGTGTACTGTCACCTTCAACCACCAGAAGCAGCTCACCACTACAACACTCCCACCGAGATACCTGTGTACTGTGTACTGTCACCTTCAACCACCAGAAGCAGTTCACCACCACAACACTCCCACCGAGATACCTGTGTACTGTGTACTGTCACCTTCAACCACCAGAAGCAGTTCACCACCACGACGCTCCCACCGAGATACCTGTGTACTGTGTACTGTCACCTTCAACCACCAGAAGCATCTCACCACCACGACGCTCCCACCGAGATACCTGTGTACTGTGTACTGTCACCTTCAACCACCAGAAGCATCTCACCACCACGACCGAGATACCTTCACCTTCACCACCAGAAGCATCTCACCACCACCACGATCCCACCGAGATACCTGTGTACTGTGTACCTGTGTACCTGTACTGTCACCTTCAACCAGGTTTAGTTTGAAAATATTCCTGACATTCATTATTGGGCCGTCTGCATTCTGCTAATCTGTACTTGACCTTTGTATCACCTAATTTTTCAATTATTGACATGTACTAGCATAAACACAATAAAATATATCAAAAGTAGGGAAGAATTTCCAACTCACCAAAACCGAATCGGAGCGATCCCCTCCCATAAATGCAAATATCTGAAGAGAGAAACAAAAACATGTATTAGCTTGAACACAATAAAAGACTATAAGATGGTGAATGATCAAAATGTAGTGAGAATAGATTCGCAAACATCCACAAACTCACCCCTACATCCAGATTCAACCCTAGTCACAGACTCATCCCTACATCAAGACTCACCCTACAGTCACCAACTCACCCGTACATCAAGAATCACCTTACAGTCCCAAACTCACCCCTACATCAAGCCTCACCCTAACAGTAACAAACTCACCCCTACATCAGACTCATCCTTCAGTCCTACGCTCACCCGTCCATCCAAACTCACCCGTACATCAAGACTCACCCTACAGACACAAACTCACCCGTACATCCAAACTCACCCGTACATCAAGACTCACCCTACAGACACAAACTCACCCATACATCCAGAATCATCCTATAGTCCCAAACTCACCCGTACATCCAGAATCACCCTAGTCACAAACTCACCCGTACATCAAGACTCACCCTACAGACACAAACTCACCTGTACATCCAAACTCACATGTACAAGACTCACCCTACAGTAACAAACTCACCCCTACATCCAGACTCACCCCTACAGTAACAAACTCACCCATACATCCCTACAGTTACCCTACAGTTACACTCACCCCTACATCAAGACTCACTCTACAGTCCCAAACTCATCCCCTACATCAAGACTCACCCTCCAGTCACAAACTCACCCCTACATCCAGATTCACCCTACAGTAACAAACTCACCTTACATCCAGACTCACCCTACAGTAACAAACTCACCCGTACATCCAGACTCACCCTACAGGCACAAACTCACCCCTACAGTCACAAACTCACAGCTACAAACCAGACTCACCCCTAGTGACAGACTCAGTGTTCTGCCACTCGTGTAGCCTTGTGGGATATCAACCATCTGTGGGACACTGGGAGAGTTCATGTAGATTGGATTATTTCATATAATTATGGGACTCAATGAATGTGTCAAAACACATCGCTCGGTCAGCAGTTTCAGTTGCTGATTGTAAACTTTGACTACTTACGAACACGCTATTAGCGCCTTAACTTGGCTGAAAGTTATAAATGGTCAGAGTTGTCTTTCATATTGTTGTGTAACAGGGAGCACGTGTTTACGTCTTGTGCAGATCTAGACATTTTGCTTCCGGGTGTTGGTCTTTAACTTACTTTAGGAACTGTACTCTTCATTGGTGAAGGAAATATATTTCCTGCGTGGTTTGGGGTATCATACTGTGATTCTGTTCCTTCGGTGGTCGAATTGTCTTCGCCGCCATTTTCATTTGCAGTTAGGTTGTTTGGTATGAGCAATTCTAATTGGTGGTGGGCAGATTGGCTGGCCAATCGTGTCTCGGGTGTTATGTAAGACGTAGGGCAGCTACTGGGTATTTAAGCGCGTAACACGAATTGTTCAGTGTCTGTATGATCGGCGACCGATCAGAGGTGAGGTGATCCACAGTAATACGTCCCGTGATGGGGCAATAAGATGTTCCGTGCAGAACAGTGAGCCCCTACTCCATTCCCCGTTAGGTTCTAGTTTATTTTCGGCCAATTAAGAGAAATTGAGTAAGACTGTGTATTTTGGGGTAAATGTATTAGTAGGAACAGCCGGGTGGATTTCAGTGGTAGGGTACATGCCAGGCAGTAGGAATTTAGTCGACTTGTGTAGGAACAGTAGACTGTAGGTAGGATGTAGCGCTATTTTAACCCCCTTGATGCCGAGTTTTTTTCAGGCGCACATTTTCATACGCTTTGAAAAGTGAACGTTGTGCGAGAATTGCGCTTGCGTGGTCCTGGATCTACGTGCGGCTATAAAATTACACAGAAATGTAGAATATTAAATTTCCTATCCATTGGTATAAATATAAGTGCAACTTCCTCGGCGGTTTGAGAAAAAGACCTTGCTAAATGTTGTCCAAATTTTGTTATGCGTTAAAAACAGTAAATTTCTCCGCTTTTTATCGCGCACCGATATAAGCACTGTGCTACGAATTTTTTATTTTGGCATCTTTACGGAAAGTGTGAGATAAGAAAATACAGCCTGATATCTGAACGACATAAGTGTAAATGAATTGGATGTATGTGCTTATGCATAACGTTATACGCTCAACATTAAAAATGACTCGCAATAAATGTCAAAAATGGATTTTCTTCTACCACGTCAAACGACGACAGAGAGGTCATATGAGTATAATGATAAGGGGGCATAACTCCATTATGCTTAACACTAAGTCAGTGTAACTCAGATCACATGGAGAGTATTTGTTGTGGATACGGACGCTATATTTTTGTTATCTTTTGTTCACGGTGAACAAAACTATTGCAATTCAAAGTTCCCCAATAAGAGCGGATACGCTTTGGTAGTTTCACAATTTATAAGAAAAGATGACAACGTACTACATGTGAAAGCACGTAATAGCGATTTGGATGGCCCTATCCGATATATAAGTTAGTTCTTAGATTCCCATATTCTCCTGTTTGTGTAGATGTATTTTGACTAATTTTGCATCGTTATTACCAGAGTACTAGCCATATCTTCAAATGTAATGAAATTGCTGAAAATAATACAACATTTTAGTTGACGTCATTGCTTGTTTTATGCATATGGCGACGTCAGAAAAAGATGACATTGGTATGCTGATTAGTATATATCTCACCTAATTTCCATTAATTGTGTGAAAGGTCTCGGCTTCTTTGTCAGAATTAACACTCTTTAGACAAAACATAAAATGACTGGTTTTTCCATTTAAATAGTGTCCTGAATATATCAACAATTAGACAGTTTGACTGTGTATCTTATCATGAGCAACATGCGCACCTGTTTGGCATCAATTTAATGTAAATGAAAAATAACATTTCACAACACCCGAATATTTTGTTTAGGATAAGAATTTTCTTTATTTATGATTGTAGCTATTTCTCTTCATAAGTATGCAATGGAAGATGCAAAAAAGATAGCTTTTTATATATGGATCTAGTACGTACTATATATTAGAATATGGATGTAAGATTTGTCCAAATTAAGACATGACATGGTTTATATATTTTTAAACAATTTTCGTATGAATATAGTTACAGTTTGATATCCTGTCATCACAATATTTTTAAATCGAATATGAATTGATTATATTATCGAAAAAACAATGATATTGAATCAAAGAACGTTTCCGACAAACGCGCACCTGGCCAATCAATATACATCATTGTTTTCTCTATAAAACGACACAAAAATGTGTAATGAACAAGACAATTCCTTTAAATGTGTGTGCATATACATTTCATAACATACATAAATCATTTTCATTAAATATTATCAGTTTTACTTATAAGGTTTAATCAAATCGCCGTTCATTAACCTGTTCATGTGAAACTGCAATATTAGTTCAAATGCATTGAATATTGTACATCATAGGAACTAAGGTAATTGCAGTTGTGGCTACGTTTGATCTTCTAACACTTGTGTAAAGGTTTAGAATATGGTGTACTGCACTAATTGTGTCAATTTCTTATGTAAATATGATTCAAACAATCAAAAACTTTCAAAGAATAAAACACTGTAAACCCTATATGCACGTATATGATATTGGACAAGGCTAAATGTAGATACTGAAGTCAGTTTCATGAAAAAGTATCTGAACTATCCGCAAAATATACATTATAATACTGACAGTGTAATCGGAAGGATTGGGCGATTGTGTTTACTCTTGTTCAACCGACCTTCACCTCAAAGAAATTGCCTAATATGTACAACAATGTTGACGTATGACATCACTACCGATGACCTATTTTCAAAATGGCGGCTTTGCTGACAAGGATACAAAGGATTTTGTGAGGACCCTTTCATTGATTCAGTGATCGTTTGTACATAAATATGAGATGTAAGTAATCAGAATGATTCTGACTATCCGTGTATTGTTATATGTTGTTATCGTTTTCACTGTAAGTAAGAGAAGAAGCCAGAAATGCTGATAATTACACTTGTCGTTCTGCGTGATTTTGCATCAGTGATGGCGTCACGCTGCACGGAAACTTTGACAATTTCTTATGAATTATCAAATCATTGCATTGTATCTATTTATAATTTCCTATTTCTTACTACGATACTCTTTCATTGCATATCCCAAAGGTAATGAGCCATTGCAAGCAATGAATAGACGGATGAATGTTGGAAAATTTCAGAAAATGCTACGCAGTGTAAAATCGGAATGTGTCTTTGTTTACATTTCGAGCCAGCGCAGTCTTTCGAGCACAGCGTTCGTTTTCACACCCAATATGTTTCGTCTCATTTTATCTGGACAGTTGGTATTGGTGACACAGACCAGTTGCAATTTGATTCTAAAATGTATGGGGAATTCAGTGATGCATTTTTCGAAGCTATATATGAAATATACGTGATGTAATAGGCGTCTCAATACCGGCCTTCGCGAAATGTGATTTTGTAAACACTATCCAATATGGCGGAAAGCGCTCTACGGCGTTAGTGTAAGTGTATTTTCGAAAACATCCCAACCGATTCTAGATTCATTGGCAACGTTTCAGAATTATCATTAGCGATTTCATGTAAAAGTGATATCAGTGTTCATTAATATGTTATTTTTTAAATTCCATACTCCCAGTAATTATCCGATTTTCACATTTCAAAACATACAGCAAATAACGCTGTGAATCCCAATTTCGTACTGTGTCAAAAATGGCGACATTTTCGATGAAGCCTATTTTGAAAGGTCATTTTCAGCACTAGAGCTTTGTCTAAAATAATAGTGGATGGTATCAAGATACAGGAAATTTCCCGCAGAATTCGAAACGGTGAAGTGTATTTGTGTGCGTGGGATATTTTGATTTTTATTGGACTTCAAATTGAGGGTTGAAGGGGAAGGACATATATGTCCATGTGGCATCCAGGGGGTTAAGAGGTCAGGTGAAATTGGGTTTTACGTCGTGCTTGAGAATATTTCGCTCATATGACGACTTGCATGCGTGTGTATGTGTATGTACGGCTGCTTGTACTAGCCCACACTTAAGCTGATTTTATAGTGCTAGCCCACTGATATACCATGCTGCAGTGAAGCATGAATACCCCACTCAGACACATTATACTGTCTCTGAGCTGACCAGTCCTTGTTGTACCCATTAATGCCGAGCGCCAGGCAGGGACCAACAAGTACCATATTTTAACGTCTTTTGGTATGACGCGGTCAGGGATCGAACCCGCGACCTTCCGCTCTCCGGGCGGACGCTCTAACCACAAAACCACAGAGGTGGTCGCTATTTTAAGAGAGTGGCTTATGTGAAGTTAAGAGGGTTGGGTTAGGAGAAAGTAGGTTAGTGTATTAGTAAAATATTTTAAGTGACTGTGTTTGTATATCTTTTTTCTCAGGAATTTGTTAGACTTGTTTATTGTTTATGTTGTTTTTATGTTGTCTTTATTTAAGAAATCTGTTGTTTTTTAATTGCTCCTCTGCATCCATCAACTGGGAACAGGACGGCTTTGATTCTGAGTACACAAAACACAACACAAAGCATCATGGTCATGTGTCGTAAAGCCGTTCCCGTTACAGTTGCAAACATAGAACTGGTAGTCATTGTTGTCAGAATTTTACAGCTATGCGCAGTGATAAGAAAGTGATGGGTATCACCCATTATTAACTCAACCCTACACTTACCAAACGCTCATAAATGCACCCCACCACTCATGAACTAAACATAAACTCATAATTCACCTCTATACTCAACCCATTCTCCTAAATGCAGTAAACTCTCCATGACCACATACCCACACAGTAAACTCTCCATGACCACATACCCACACAGTAAACTCTCCATGACCACATACCCACACAGTAAACTCTCCATGACCACATACCCACACAGTAATCTCTCCATGACCACATACCCACACAGTAATCTCTCCATGACCACATACCCACACAGTAAACTCTCCATGACCACATACCCACACAGTAAACTCTCTATGACCACATACCCACACAGTAAACTGTCCATGACCACATACCCACACAGTAACTGTCCATGACCACATACCCACACAGTAAACTGTCCATGACCACATACCCACACAGTAAACTCTCCATGACCACATACCCACACAGTAAACTCTCCATGACGACATACCCACACAGTAAACTCTCCATGACCATACACATACCCACGACAGTAAACTCTCCATGACCACATACCCACACAGTAAACTGTCCATGACCACATACCCACACAGTAAACTCTCCATGACCACATACCCACAGAGTAAACTCTCCATGACGACATACCCACACAGTAAACTCTCCATGACCACATACCCACACAGCAAACTCTCCATGACCACATACCCACAGTTAACTCTCCATGACCACATACCCACACAGTAAACTCGCAAAGACAACATACCCACACAGTAAACTCGCAAAGACAACATACCCACACAGTAAACTCTCCATGACCACATACCCACACAGTAAACTCTCCATGACCACATACCCACACAGTAAACTCTCCATGACCACATACCCACACAGTAAACTCTCCATGATGACAATTAACTCTCCATGGCAACATACGCACACAGTTAACTCTCAAAGACGACATACCCACACAGTAAACTCGCAAAGACAACATACCCACACAGTAAACTCTCCATGACCACATACCCACACAGTAAACTCGCAAAGACAACATACCCACACAGTAAACCCTCAAAGACGAAATACCCACACAGTAAACCATCCATGATGACATACCCACACAGTAAACCCTCCATGATGACATACCAACACAATTAACTCTCCATGACAACATACGCACACAGTTAACTCTCAAAGACGACATACCCACACAGTAAACTCGCAAAGACGACATACCCACACAGTAAACTCTCCATGACAACATACCCACAGAGTTTACTCTCCATGACGACATACCCACACAGTAAACTCGCAAAGGCAACCTACCCACACAGTAAACTCTCCATGACAACATACCCACAGAGTTTACTCTCCATGACGACATACCCACACAGTAAACTCGCAAAGGCAACCTACCCACACAGTAAACTCTCAAAGACGAAATGCCCACACAGTAAACCATCCATGATGACATACCCACACAGTAAACCCTCCATGATGACATACCAACACAATTAACTCTCCATGGCAACATACGCACACAGTTAACTCTCAAAGACGACATACCCACACAGTAAACTCGCAAATACGACATAAACACACAGTAAACCTTCCATGACCACATACCCATCTTTATGCAGTTATTATGAGAGACCTAGTGTTCATCACCAGCGCAGTAGGGTTATTTCTAATGTTTCTCCATCCCTGCTTGATGCATTCTTTACAGACTTAATGGTTTTAGCTGTGGGCATCTGTCTTCACTAGATTGTTTGTGAATGTGTAGTACACATCAGTGCACAGGGGGGAAGGTGGACTGACATTGGTTGGGTGGTGGGGGTGTCACTGGAGAAGATAACATTAGATATTTATAGCACAAGATTCCATGAAGACACACTGGCAATACTCTACACGAAATTGTAAAATACAATAAATACAAAACACACAGATACATTCCTGTGATGCATTTTAACTGCTAATAATTGCATAAATGTTAACAATATTAGAATTGAACTAAAGTGTGGTAATGATGTACATACAAGAAATTTAACTAATATTTACAAAATATTGTAAATATAACAACATATCATAGAAACTGTTTCTGGATGACTGTTGTTAAAGACTGAGAAATAATTTCTTTTCCACAAAGAGTACTTATTTGTTTATGAGGAGGTAAGATTATTTAGATAAATATTCTTCTCTCTTGATTGTATTTAATACGAAGATTGTATGTTTCTGTAGCACAGACGACTGCCTTGCACCACAGTGTAAAATTTTGTAGAATTTCTAGGTTATTATCAGGGCTGATTCAGTTCCATGTATGCTATCTTCACAAACCTAACACATTACACATTTGCCATAAACCTTACAATGAAACATCAGCTGTACAGATGCAGACAAAATGTCTGAAGTCACTACAAGTCTTACTGTGGGCAAGCAGTCCAAGCATACAAACAAACAACAAATGACATCATCTAGATGTGCTCACATGATGATGCAGGCATGTTTGGGACTGACAATAACACTAAATCCATATGGCAGCTATTGTGCAATTTAGAGGTTCTCGCAAATCATTTCGTAGTATTTTACCGACCATCCTCCCTCCACCTCCCCACACAAACATACCAATCCACCCAACTACCTACCCTATTTCACATAAGTGGGTGGTATTACCTGACATATAAATGGGTGGTATTGCCTGACATATATGTGGGTGGTACTGCCTGACATACAAGTGGGTGGTACTGCCTGACATATAAATGGGTGGTACTGCCAGACATATAAGTGGGTGGTACTGCCAGACATATCAGTGGGTGGTACTGCCAGACATATATGATATAAGTGGGTGGTACTGCCTGACATATAAGTGGGTGGTACTCTTTCACATATAAGTGGGTGGTACTGCCTGACATATAAATGGGTAGTACTGCCTGACATATAAGTGGGTGGTATTGCCTGACATATAAGTGGGTGGTACTACCTGACATATATATGATATAAGTGGGTGGTACTGCCTGACATATAAATGGGTGGTACTGCCTGACATATAATAAGTGGGTGGTATTGCCTGACATATAAGTGGTTGGTACTACCTGACATATATATGATATAAGTGGGTGGTACTGCCTGACATATAAGTGGGTGGTACTACCTGACATATATATGATATAAGTGGGTGGTACTGCCTGACATATAAGTGGGTGGTACTGCTTGACATATAAGTGGTTGGTACTGCCTGACATATAAGTGGGTGGTACTTCCTGACATATATATGATATAAGTGGGTGGTACTGCCTGACATATACGTGGTTAGTAGTGCCTGACATATAAGTGGTTGGTACTGCCTGACATATAAGTGGTTGGTACTGCCTGACATATAAGTGGGTGGTACTGCCTGACATATGTGGGTGGTATTGCCTGACATATAAGTGGGTGGTACTGCCTGACATATAAGTGGTTGGTACTGCCTGACATATAAGTGGGTGGTACTGCCTGACATATAAGTGGGTGGTATTGCCTGACTTGGGTACAGCTGCTCACCTTCGTATGTCTGCCAGCTGGAACAGTCACGCTTATATGTCTCCACCTCTGATTGGTTGAGCCACCCAGGGAAGGGCGGCGGCTTGAGTGTCACACACAGACGCTCCACAGGGTGCAGTTGAGGGCGGCATGATGTGGAGCTGGTGCCAGGGCCACACACCCCTCCTGCAACATCCCCCATGTCAACACGGCGGCGACACTGCTAGCCAAAATCTCAGAGACATCCACCACCTGCAGATGAGAAAGAACTGTGAGGGTACTCTAGGTGTACAAACAACAGTATCTTGGATGCAGCAAGTCAGTGGGTTGGCAGGGGGATTGGTTGTTGAATGAGTGAGTGAGTGAGTGAGTGGGTTGGGAGATTGAGTGAATGGGTTAGTGAGTATGTGAGTGAGGATCACATTGTCAATGTTTTGGCCATACAATCATTCACTAAAAACTGTCATAAAAGCCTCATTATTTGAGTACAACACATATCAACAAGATCAACAATGGAGGAATTTGTACACAACATTTATGTCAGTCTATCAAACTGTTTCCAACTGACCCTGGATTCATTATTCGCTGATTGTACCGGTGACATTTACGTAAACCCAAGGAACACATAACCTGTCTCTGAGGCCCAAATGTCAACATCAATGTAAACCATATCTCTTCACACTTCATTGTAGACATTCATCACATACAGCTACATTCTGTGGAGAAACTAAACTTTAAACACAGGAGAAAACTATTCAATGTAACAGGAACAATGGATTTGCCTGTTATTCTTAATATCACTGTGGTAATATACTAAACAAAAAAAGAAACTTCACATGTGTCATTTTATGTCCCAAACATCAGGGCATGGTGCTGCACTACAGTATGGTTTGACCAGGGCATGGTCCTTCACTACACCCTTATTCTGAAAAAAAAAAGAACCAGCTCAGTTCTTGTAAGTATGAATACAAGCTTGTGTCCCGAGTGAAAGTCATGAGCCCACAATGACTTCTTGTAACATGCAGGCATTGTCTCCACACAGTCAGAGGCTCCAGAGACCATATCCACTATAACAGTCAGACATCAAACCTTGACAACAAGCCAGCTGGCAGCACGGGTACCTAAACATTCACCCTGTTGTCCCAACAGATTAGCCCTCACTACACTTGGAACTTCATTGAGGCAGACGTGAGTCCTGTTACTGTGACCAGGTCTGACACACCACCAACCAGCTCTTCTTCAAGTCTGTCCCAACCAGACAACCAGCTCTTCTTCAAGTCTGTCCCAACCAGACAACCAGCTCTTCTTCAAGTCTGTCCCAACCAGACAACCAGCTCTTCTTCAAGTCTGTCCCAACCAGACAACCAGCTCTTCTTCAAGTCTGTCCCAACCAGACAACCAGCTCTTCTTCAAGTCTGTCCCAAACAGACAGCTCTTATCTCAGTCAGTCCCACAGCAAGTCTGAGGACAGGCTGTGAGAAGAGTGGCTGTTTAGGATAGACAGCTCTTCTGAAAGCATGTACCAGATAGAAAATTGTTGTCACCGCCAGGCATCACCGCCAGGCATCAACGGGGAGCTCTTCTCACTGCCTGTCAAAGACACAACTTTCCCCTCAAAAACACTATCAGCTTGATATGACTGGAAAAGGAGAAATATAAGCATTGTGTGAGATAGGAGGGATTTTGGAACACAAGGAAAGACTGTGTGTGTGTGGGTGTTAGCAGCCACGGCTCCAGGTGATTGATGAGATTCACTGTCAACAAAACAGATGGTTTCCCTGAGGAAACCATTTTCATACTCAGAGGCACAGATAAGCTGCATATCTGGGCAAAATACGCATAGAAAATTTCCAAATACCCATTGAAAAATAATTGTAGCGTACCAATTATGCATTGAAAAATGTTAGATACGCAAAAGGTTTAAATATATGGGTACGGAATATATTTCCGTTCAGGGACCAGACCCAACAATGTTACATCAAGGCAGCGGGGACCAGACCCATCCATGTTACATCAAGGCAGCAGGGAACAGATCTACCCATGTCACATCAAGGCAACAGGGACCAGATTCATCCATGTTACATCAAGGCAGCGGGGACCAGACCCATCCATGTTATATCAAGGCAGCAGGGAACAGATCTACCCATGTCACATCAAGGCAACAGGGACACATTCAGGGAACAGATCTACCCATGTTACATCCAGGCAACAGGGACCCGATCTACCCATGTTACATCAAGGCAGCGGGGACCAGACCCATCCATGTTATATCAAGGCAGCAGGGAACAGATCTACCCATGTCACATCAAGGCAACAGGGACACATTCAGGGACCAGATCTACCTATGTTACATCAAGGCAACAGGGACCCGATCTACCCATGTTACATCAAGGCAGCGGGGACCAGACCCATCCATGTTATATCAAGGCAGCAGGGAACAGATCTACCCATGTCACATCAAGGCAACAGGGACACATTCAGGGACCAGATCTACCCATGTTATATCAAGGCAGCAGGGACCAGATCCATCAACATCCATCCACCCATCAAGGCAACAGGGACCAGATCCACCCATGTCACATCAAGGCAACAGGGACCAGACCCATCCATGTTACATCAAGACGATAGGGACCAGATCCACCCATGTTACATCAAGGCAGCAGGGAACAGATCTACCCATGTCACATCAAGGCGACAGGGACCAGATTCATCCATGTTACATCAAGGCAACAGGGACCAGACCCATCCATGTTATATCAAGGCAGCAGGGAACAGATCTACCCATGTCACAACAAGGCAACAGGGACCAGATTCATCCATGTTACATCAAGGCAGTGGGGACCAGACCCATCCATGTTATATCAAGGCAGCAGGGAACAGATCTACCCATGTCACACCAAGGCAACAGGGACACATTCAGGGAACAGATCTACCCATGTCACATCAAGGCAACAGGGACCAGATTCATCCATGTTACATCAAGGCAGCGGGGACCAGACCCATCCATGTTATATCAAGGCAGCAGGGAACAGATCTACCCATGTCACATCAAGGCAACAGGGACACATTCAGGGACCAGATCCACCCATGTTACATCCAGGCAACAGGGACCCGATCTACCCATGTTACATCAAGGCAGCGGGGACCAGACCCATCCATGTTATATCAAGGCAGCAGGGAACAGATCTACCCATGTCACATCAAGGCAACAGGGACACATTCAGGGAACAGATCTACCCATGTCACATCAAGGCAACAGGGACCAGATCTACCAATGTTACATGTAGGCAGCAGAGACCAGATCCATCAACATCCATCCACCTATCAAGGCAACAGGGACCAGATCCAACCATGTCACATCAAGGCAACAGGGACCAGACCCATCCATGTTACATCAAGACGATAGGGACCAGATCCACCCATGTTACATCAAGGCAGCAGGGAACAGATCTACCCAAGTCACATCAAGGCGACAGGGACCAGATTCATCCATGTTACATCAAGGCAACAGGGACCAGATCTACCCACACCCATGTTATATCAAGGCAGCAGGGAACAGATCTACCAATGTCACATCAAGGCGACAGGGACCAGATTCATCCATGTTACATCAAGGCAACAGGGACCACATCCACCCATGTTACATCAAGGCAACAGGGGCCAGACCCACCCATGTTACATCAAGGCAACAGGGACCAGATCCACCCATGTTACATCAAGACGATAGGGACACATTCAGGGACCAGATCTATCCATGTTACATCAAGACGACAGGGACCAGATCCACCCATGTTACATCAAGGCAACAGGGATAAGATCTATCCATGTTACATCAAGGCAAAAGGGACCAGATCCACCCATGTTACATCAAGGCAACAGGGACCAGATCCACCCATGTTACATCAAGGCAACAGGGACCAGATCCACCCATGTCACATCAAGGCAACAGGGACCAAATCCACCCATATTACATCAAGGCAACAGGGACACATTCAGGGACCAGATCTATCCATGTTACATCAAGACAACAGGGATCAGATCCACCCATGTTACATCAAGACGACAGGGACCAGATCCACCCATGTTACATCAAGGCAGCAGGGAACAGATCTACCCATGTTACATCAAGGCAACAGGGACCAGACTCATCCATGTTACATCAAGGCAACAGGGACCAGATCCATCCATGTTATATCAAGGCAGCAGGGAACAGATCTACCCATGTCACATCAAGGCGATAGGGACCAGATTGATCCATGTTACATCAAGGCAACAGGGACCAGATCCACCCATGTTACATCAAGGCAACAGGGGCCAGACCCACCCATGTTACATCAAGGCAACAGGGACCAGATCTACCCATGTTACATCAAGACGATAGGGACACATTCAGGGACCAGATCTATCCATGTTACATCAAGACGACAGGGACCAGATCCACCCATGTTACATCAAGGCAACAGGGACCAGATCCAACAATTTTACATCAAGGCAAAGGGACCAGATCCACCCATGTTACATCAAGGCAACAGGGACCAGATCCACCCATGTTACATCAAGGCAACAGGGACCAGATCCACCCATGTCACATCAAGGCAACAGGGACCAAATCCACCCATGTTACATCAAGGCAACAGGGACACATTCAGGGACCAGATCTATCCATGTTACATCAAGACAACAGGGACCAGATCCACCCATGTTACATCAAGACGACAGGGACCAGATCCACCCATGTTACATCAAGGCAGCAGGGAACAGATCTACCCATGTCACATCAAGGCAACAGGGACCAGATTCATCCATGTTACATCAAGACGACAGGGACCAGATCCACCCATGTTACATCAAGGCAACAGGGACACATTCAGGGACCAGATCCAACAATGTTACATCAAGACAACAGGGAACAGATCTATCCATGTTACATCAAGACAACAGGGACCAGATCCACCCATGTTACATCAAGGCAACAGGGACCAGATCTACCCATGTTACATCAAGACGATAGGGACACATTCAGGGACCAGATCTATCCATGTTACATCAAGACGACAGGGACCAGATCCACCCATGTTACATCAAGGAAACAGGGACACATTCAGGGACCCGATTCATCCATGTTACATCAAGGCAACAGGGACCAGATCCACCCATGTCACATCAAGGCAACAGGGACCAAATCCACCCATGTTACATCGAGGCAACAGGGACACATTCAGGGACCAGATCTATCCATGTTACATCAAGAC